TGCTTATTGTTTTATATATATATTTATGGGGTAAATCCATACTGTGCTGTGCTATATTCTAATAAACAAATACACAAAACAATCATGAGATATAAGTGTCAGAATACAGGTGAGTGACAAGTTAAAGGAAAAACCTCCCTGAACTCTGAAGGCGGTGGTGATGGCACAGTAGGTAAGACACATGCCTTTGGTGTGAGAGACCCCGGTTTAATTCCTTCGCTCCCGGACCAAGACACTTAACCCCTAGTTGCTCCAGAGGAGTGTGACCTCTGCCATATATATATATATATATATATATATATATATATATATAATATATATATATATATAATATATATATATATATATATATATATAATATATATATATATATATATATATATATATATATATATATATATATATATATATATATTATATATATATAGTGCACCTTCCAAAAGAAATCAATCATTTTGTATCTCTTAGTTTTGATTTAGTATCCCGTAATTTAGACTTTCAATAGTATTACGTTTTCATCTATTTATTTTTGGCTTCCATTCTTATCATAACTATTCAAAAAATGAATTCAAAGGGGTCCTTGCCAAATTACCTGTTATGAGTTTATGAAAAGAAAATACTGTACAATATATTATTAGATATGTTACTCGCAAATCCAGACATTGACCTCAAAAGTCCAGTATCAGTCAGACTAATCACTAGTGCCACTACCAATAATTATAACATTAAAAATAATTCACGTGATTGATTAACTCTGTTTTCAATGTGGAAGTGGATACCTGCCGGTCGGGGGTTTATCTACGGTGAAACAACCTACTCACCTGCAGTACACGGCTGTGCATGGACAGTAACCCGTGTCCATGCACAGCCCTCTGAACTTTTAACTATTTACTACAGTATATAGGACACACACACACACACACACACACACACACACACACACACACACACACTCTAACGTGAAGAACATCAGGCGTCCATCTGGAAATTATGAATGAAAGTGAATGCCCCACTGATACACAATAATTTACTGAATTCAAGCTCTTGAAACTGAAGATTAGCCATCCCTGAGTAAACTCGGAGCAAGCAGATGAAACTGGCTGATGGATTAAGAGCTTTCAAGTCTCAAAATAACTAATAACCACCAAATTAGGATAATAATAATAATAATAACAACGTGCAGCACTGGTCCATGTCATGCAGTTAACCTGCATTTATCAGGCACCAACACTGTGGTTGTCACTGAAATCTAATATTCCTACATGCTGTCCAGTCAGATGTGACAGACAGATCATTCCTTGCACCTTCTGTTGATTGAAAACAAGATCTGAATGTTTGATTTGAAAATTTCGCCCTGTGGGCAGAGCTGTTGATGGTCACAACTGCGGGCATCTGCGATCAAACACCTTGTGTTCTTGCACATTGATGTTTATATTCCAGCCCACACACACGAGACACGGGAACTGCTAAGAAAATATTCTGTAAGCATTTGCTGGCTAAATCCATTGTGCTTCTTTAATACAATTAAATTAATTAAATCGATTACTAAAATTCTTTGCATTGATGCTTCGTTTAATCCATATAACTATACAGCACACTGTTTCGCACAGACATCTATTACTGTCGCACTTCGCAGTTACGCTGTGTGAACAGGACGTGATTATGATGGCGCTGTTTGCCAAACGGAGGAAGACAGAGAAAAAAGCCAGGGACGAAGAAGAAAGTGTCCAAAGTCTGGGATTATTTCAAGATCAAGAAAACAACAACTCTGTAACGTTACCGTCCGTCCACCGTAAAACCAAACTGATGTCGCCAACGCAGCAGCACAACTGCATCTGATCAGAAGGCAGCCGGAGTTCTGCCAGCGGACCACAGACAAGAGAACAGCAACTTTGGCATTTTACTGAAATCCTGACTGATTGTTGAAGGCTATCGAGAGCAAGCTGCGGTCCTCAGCTGTAAATGCACACGTGTGCGTTTGTTGGGCCGTGAGTTTGTGTTGTAATACTTAGCAGATACTTGGCATTTCACTTTATAAACATTTAATAGATAGTTGTTTATTCATTTTCTGTTGATTGACTAATCAACGACTTTCAGCCCTAGTTTTAATTAGTCTTAAGTGTTCCCATCAGACATGAGACCAACTGTGAGTTGTCTGTCCTGTCAGCAGCACCTGAGAGGACAGCAGGAGATCAAACGGATTGAACATGAGAAATTCAATGGATGACTATATTGTCAAGGAGGCATATGAGAAGTACACAGGAAGCTCCCAGGTGAACTGTGGGCATCGATCAGTCATCATGGGGGAATCTGTAGCTCGGCGGGTAGAGCAGTTCAGTCTCGAGCTCCTCCTGTTCACAGGAGCCTTGAGCAAGACATGAACCCTGACCTCTCCCCACGGTTAGGCCAGCACTGCATGGTACCTCGCTGTGAACGGGTGGATAGGAGGAAAATTGTAAAGTGCTTTCAATAAAAACGCTTTATTAAGGCAGCCCATTTACTTCAAGATGTAAAGTACTGACTAATCTGTCAAACGATCATGACAATGACACGTGAAACAATAACCACAACTTGTCTTGTATGGGCTTGGAGAAAATTGCTGAAAGTGTTACTTTGGTCCAGCATTTCATCCTCTCACCTAAGACAACAGCTGCCTATGGAGGGTCTGATTTGGTGTGGATTGCATTTCAGAAAATGTAAAATGTATCTGTTACGTGAGACGGAAAAAATTAAATGCAGGAAGCCTTAATTCCATTATTTAATTTCAATTGCTACTTTGGTTTAAAGGTCCACGTTTCAAAATAAAACTGCACTTAACATGTTAACCACACAGTATGAATTTAACCATTTCAGGGCCTCTGGGGGTTCAAAAACAATGATGTAATGAAATGGAAGATTTGCGTGGCTGAACGGTTACATCATCTGGGCAGTGTAAGCAAGAGAAACTTTCAAAGCCACAGGGCTTATGGTGTTTAGACTACTTCACACACACACAGTCAGTCCACGATCAAACTAAAACACACTAAAGCTGCATATCGCCAGTGACGGGCTCAACAAGACACAAGCTGTTCCGGCGAGAAGGGGTGGGCTGGGCAAGTATGTGAGAGGCGGTGTGAAAGGAACTGCGGTACAGGTTTGATGGGAATACAGGGCAGTGGGTGGGAGGAGTGGGGTGGGGCCACTCACCTTTGCAGCAGACTGAACCCATGGTGGCCAATCCAAAATCCAGAAGTAAAGATGTCCCATCCCCAAATCCACAGTACCAACAGCTCACCGAGGACAGAGACAGAACAGAGATGTCCAAACACGAGGGGACGATGACCGACTGACTACCTGATCACCTTTAGCTAATCCCGGCTGCTACTCATAGCTGGAAAATGTGCGAAGGGAGGGAGAAGGGAGAGGTGGGGGGTGTGGCAGATGTGGACAGCAACAAGGCTTTTTGGGGGTAATCCTGTCCCATTTAGCCCATCACCAGGTCGCCGCCGTGTGAGGCAGCCCGCTGCTGGGTCGTGTCCATGAGAGAAGGCAACAACTGCAGGATTACATCTTTAGATTAGATTAGATTTCTCTCTCTTCATTCATCTCCCCCTCAATCTATCCCTGTCCTCCTTTATATATTCATTTGTTTGTTCATCTTTTCTCATTTTCTCTGAGGCCTGTAATCCCAGGGCTATCTCTGTGCAACACAAACTACTCTAAAGGCCACGGTCAGTATCCGAGTAAGGCTCTGCGTTCATTTCAGTTGACTGGAGTCATTTTTTTGTCTATATTTAACGTCTAAAGCGACTGGACAACGACGACGCAGCAGCTGTGAGCAGCGTACAGGGAAGTGGCTGATTTTAAATGTATAGTGAAGCTGTAAATGATTTGTAGTTGTTTCATTCTATCGGGTGTTAACTTGGAGCTGAGTCTGTTGCCGTCACCAATCTGCCTCTCCAGAACTAATAAGTGGCGACTAAGCAACGAAGGTAATAAATAGCAAGACGGAAAAAAAAACAAACATGGAATTTGTTCCAAAAATGTTCATCTTTGTATGTTCGTGAGAAATCTTTCTCGTCTTCTCACCTCCCTCTCGTTCCTCTCACACACACAGATGCAGAGTGAAATAACTCTCATACAGTATATACACACACACACAGGCACCATCTTGCCTCTTTAACACAATTAACCCTTTGTCAAGCAGTGGCCAAAATACAGCCTGATATTTGTTATCTGGGAATGCAGCCACTTGAATCCACACTGAACCTTAACCATCTATGCAAAGTTTTAACGCACAAAGCCTCAGCAGTGAACCATTTCAGATGCCAATATCACTGCAATTTATTTTGTAACAGGAGTGCATACAAAAGAAAACAGTAAAACAACCCCACCGCCCGGTGATGTAACGGCTCTATTCATTTGGCTCAGTGTCACTAAATCCAAAGACTCAAAGAGTTTATAGTTTAACTGCAAATACTTAAAGAATTCAACAGACCAGGGTCACGGCTGTAATCAAAAGAGGTCAAGTACGAGTTGTCTAATTTCCAAACCCTTAATCTAGGCTGGAACACACAAGAAACTTTGAATGTTTTTCCTTAAGTCTCCTCAGCACGCCTGAAACTGAGCATTTTGTTGTATAAAAAACAATCACAATCACTGAAAGAGTAATGAAATTCATCTTCCTTACACGCAGAAACACACAGATCAGTCAACAGCTCTGGATCCCGACCGATCGATTCCCACTAAATAAAATCTCTCCCTGACTGAGGCACTGATCATTTCTCCTGGTCTAATCGGCCCAGGTCGGTCCTGGTGTAAACACAAACTTTCCTCCTTTTGGCATCGCTCTGTAATTCTGTCAGGGGGATTATACCGTAAAGTCATTTAGCTGGATCAAACCACGGAGGGGATTTGAAATGTATCCCGAAGGAGATTCAGGAATACGCGCTGCGTGGCTGGAGAATAGGTGAGGGATAGATGGAGGAGAAGAAAAGAGGAGCTGCTGCTTTGCTACTTACCTATATCTGTCTCTTTGTGGTTCTTGATGAGTTCAGCGAGCTCAAAGTTTCCAGCAATAATGGCGACCTGCAGAAAGAAATAGATGGACAGAGAGGAGGGAGAAGCAGAGAGACACACAACACAATTTATCTTTAAGGACACTTTAAAACAGCACACATTTTTATTGTTGATCATTCAAATAAAAATACTAATAATTAAGCGGAGCTCTCTGTCTGTGAGAAAGCTCTCCTGCAGAATACCTCATCAGGAAAAACAGGTGATGCCTGACTTGTAAGTGTAAGATTTTACCAAACACATTCTGAGTGCTTTCCTCCCCTTTGAACAGTCAATGAGCTCATAGCTTTAATCATCTTTAGCCAGGAATCTAGTAATCTATGACACACGTGTTCTAAGACAAGATTCACACATGACTCGATGGCGGGCACACAGCGTGCACATGCTTCTGTGAAAAGGAGAGCGTTGAACAGCGTTCTGCTGCTTACAGACAGACCGGCGAGTGCAGCAATGATCCTCTTTTATTATTCTTTGGTAAAATCAAGACAAAAATAAAAACAAAATATTATTCTTTTAACATATGCACTACCTGATTTTATCATTAAAGAACTACAAAGCTTTGTTTTTAAGGCTGTACCAAAATGACAGTGATTCCCAACCTGGGGGGACACATTTCTCTCATTTCTGTCTCACACAAATTTGTCAAAACTAATTTTCCTGACTCTCTCCAATGGTTTTTTTTTTCCTTGGGAAATTCTGGAAACTAATAACTGGCCTGATAAATAGACTTTTCCCCCTCACTTCATTATTTGAACCGCAGTCAGTTAGTGGCTCAAGCAATCTACTGCACGGATTTCATAACTCCTTAATCTCCTAATAGGTATTACTATTAGTATTATTATTACGAAATACCCAGGTTTAAAAATACAGAAACCTTTAAATAACCAAGTCGGCGAAGGAAAACTCTTAACCTGAAATTAGGACTTACACAGACTTTGCTTCATTTCAAGGGGTCACCAGCCAAAGAGGATTTACCATATTGCAGAGGACTCATTTGACAGGGTGATTCTGACAACTCTCCAATTATATCGTTCAAAATCTGTTTAGCAGTGAGGTCCAGAGAGCCGTTGGTTTAAATCAATATACTTTTAGCTATGTACAACACAAACTGCGGGCACAACATTTGACAAAGAGTTGAATCAATGCCTGTCTGAATTATTGTTTTATTACAGAGGTTCTGCGTTATTCTGGTCACTTCAGTGTAAGGCTGCATGTTTTAATAATTTCTATCTGTGACACACGCTCAGTCACTCTCGGCTGTATAGAAAATTCACTGTGTCTACATTATATAATCTAACTGCTAACAAACAACCAAAATCAAATTGCAAACATTGTTGTTTACTTTGACTGCAATCCTCCAATCCCAAAGAGGATTAAGATTATTTTGATTATATGCAGTGTCCACTTACTAGTTTATTACAAGGCCCACTTACAGTCTTCAGTGTATTATATATCCTAGAAGTAGACCCTGAGTTAGGATTATTTTACAATTTCCAAGTTTAAGAATTTTCATACACCAAAATGAAAATCTTCCGCCTGTACCCACGATTTTGTGTGTAAATTATCTCATTAAAGGATTCTTTGAAAGCAGTAATCAGTATGTTTCATGGTAATTTCTGGTATCTTGTATCTACTTTGAATATGTAGTTGTATTTTACTTATGTCTGACTGTTGTACATTGGTTTGGTAATAAACTGTGATAAACATCACACAAAGCAGTATGATCTGCATGTGTCCACCAGGGGGCAGTAAAGAGATTTCCTCCTGGCTGCAGAGGTTGTTTCACTGCCAGTGACCCAGATCGTGCTGCCTGTTGTCATGTTGCTGCTTACAGTCGTTCTGCAGGCGCAGGGCTCCTGGGGTGTTACAGGGCCTCAACAGGATCTCACACACACAAACCTCAAGGGAAACCCAGCAGCATTATATAAGCATGCCTGCTCTGATTCCTGGAGAACAAATATTCAGGAAGAGAGAGCTGGAGAAGAGTGAAGGAGAGCTGGTGTATTATTAAAAGCAGAGTTGGCTTGAGTAGTAATCCTCTGCCCCATCCCTCCACAGTTGACCTTTTCTTCGTATAAATAAAAACACAGCATTTCTGAGAAAAAGCACTTGGGACTGGCTAACGAAGATGTTTTCCACCACTTTGGATCCTCTTGAATTTTTCAACAAGCTGCATTAATATACAATATATTCCAGATTTTTTTCTCCCCTGAAATAAAAAAAGCTTCCTTTGAACTACACTGGGAGTCAATACATTTAATGTCGGGCTTTTTCATGGTCGCAAATGTGATGCTTCCTGTGAGGGAGATGGAGGAGGGGACGTATCTTTCACGATGAATACAGGCTCGATCTCCCACTCACTCCGAGGATCTCCCAGTGTATGATGCGATGTGTGACAAATCTATGACAGGCTACTCTCCAAGAGGAACTGCGATCCCAGTGCAGGCTTAAGGGATGGGATCGAGGAACATATCAGGACGAAGTGGCCCTAAGAACTGAACTAATACTTACTTACTTCTAAGATGTTTGAAGCAATTGGCCTTTCAACACTATCAACCGTCCCTAAACTTTTAAGACGCACACTGAATAAAACGGCAGATTTTTAGTCTATCTTTTGACTTTACTTTCCCTAAAAGGTTGAGTTTTTATTTTTTAGATGTCAGGGTTATATGAGACTGTTGTTTTAACAACATTTCACTGACAGTGGTTAAGATTATAGGTAACCTCATCTCAATCAATGTTTACTGGCCATCGCCAAGTCAGAATGCCCTCTTTTTATTGACTGAAATCAGAGGAGAGACTATGGACCAGCCCCATCCATCACATTATCCAGGATACTAATGAGCTGATGGCAAAACGTCAAAAGGTTTCAGATCTCATAAATGAACTGAGCAGTAATGACGTTAAATGTTAAAACGGGGTAACTCCAATGACTTAGTATTCATATTTTTCTCCATAAAGTTGGGAGAAAAATGTTAAACAAGAATGGTACAATGGAGAGAGGTCAAGATGTACAGTAAGGGTCAAACACCTAAAACACTGGATCCTACAGTTTCTATATTGCAGCAATCATCATAAGACGCTGCCCACTGTTTAATGTCCACATCTTGCAATGCAGGCTTTGGTGAAGTGCTCCTTTAATATAAAAATAAGTGCAGTGCAAAACCTTCTGCGTATCTTTCCCCTGCTCGTATCGCTCCGCTGAGCCCCTCCCACCCGACCCACAATAAGGAGGCGATTGCCTTGGAAGCCTCGTCCCGCGTAGGACTCAATCTCCATGGCGAGAATCTCACCAGGACCCCGGTCCCTCTCGCTTAGCCCCGCCCATCCGACGGCAGAGCGCCCCAGGCTTCAGAGGCAGCTGCGACAACGTCTAACAGCAGGATCAGAGGCTAGTACACCACTGTCCCCCCTCAAAAGTTATTCCCCACTGCACAGCGTGTGATCCTGGCTCTGATTGGTTGTTTTCATCAGGAGTGGTGGTAGTCTGGCAAATTGAATTAGGAGAAGTAGGGGGAGCCAGAGGAACCTGATTTTGTCCCATGTACTACAGTCAGAATATTGTGACAGTTTCAGCAAATATGACAAAAAGTTATCTTTTTACTACTGACACTTTAAAGAATCAAAAACAGTGATTAATGCTGCTTAAAATTGGCAGTAGTTCACGCAAAATCTCAGATGATGCTGATTGGTTTATTATAAAATTAGGGGAACGATGAGCCTGGTGTTTTAAAAGACACTGATTGGCCCAAGAATGGAAAGAAATGTTTCTTTGTTAGTGATTAGTCCAAAGAGGGCAGCCTTCACTGGAGATGGCAAACTTAGTGATGCTTTTTGTTTTGTTAGTGTTCCATGGGTATGACTTTAAACCCTATTTATGTCAGGACTACTTGTCCAACTGATGGATGTATGTCAGTTCACTTTACTTCAACAGAGTAGAACATCGTCTATCTATATTCTCGGGAGTATATTTTAACATGTCTGACTGATCAAAATAGTAAGAATTCCTTTACTACAACAACAAGCACAGTAAAAGCCTCTGCATTTGCCTCTGGGGGAACTTGAGAGCATCTCTTACTAAGCAGCAGTGGACAGGAGGCGACTGCCAGTCACGGTGCTGCTGGAATAAGGGGTTCACTGAAGCATAGACCTTTGGGTGATTTTAATCAAGCATTTCAGCAGTAGTTCATGCTCATCACCATCAAATTAGATCTCTGGATTTTTTATCGCCTCTCTGCGCTGATTTTGCTGTGGCCCACTTGTACTCCAATCACGGCGCTTAGAGAAACCAGAGTTAAGGAAGCTACGGAGGAGATGGTTTTTGTGCAAGTTGATCCATGGCAGATGTTACAGAGGGCCGCAGAGGGCCGCAGAGGGCCGCAGAGGGCACTTACTCAACACACACTTGAGTTTCATTTGAATTGATAAGGTAATGTGATATGAAACCAGGTGACAAATCCCAGTTTCTCCGTCATTATCATTCCACCGCCCACCACCGTCACCGCCCCCCCATCATTCTTTTCCTGTTCTGCCCTGGTTGTCATGGAGACTAATGGTTGTGTATAACACAAAAGTAGAGGGGGTGGGAAGGAGGTGGAGCAGCGTTGTGAGGCGCTTGCAGCCAAGTGGAACATCAGCTGCGGCGACAAGTCTGCCAGATCAAAATCCAAGAAGGGGGACAGAGGACGCACAAGACAAGACAGGAAGGAGAACAGAGCCAGCGGTCCCAGCCGAGGAAAAAGAGCTGAGTGTTGCAATTAAAATACGGTGCATTACTCATCAAGTACAAACTTTACAAGCTAATCAAACTCCAGTAACAGGGGATTAGGGTTTGTTTTATCGTTACATTATCCTTCATGATGCCCATTGAGTCAGATTGGCTGGATTCATTTGAGCCACAATAAGTAAAGTTGTAGAAAAGTGCACCTACAAGAGATTAGATCAATTTTATTTGCTATGTTTCCATGAGAGGTTATGAGAGGTAGATATTCAAGACTTTCTCCACAGACCTT